AAACAAGTGGTACCAGCGATCTTGATCTTGAGTGGTTATTTATTGATTTGGGAATCAACACGTAACACGTACATCAATCATTTCAATTCAAAATGTTTGTGTTGGAAACTCCGTTACCCTAATACTTGCTGGGCACAGGTTTGTTAGACAGTGGGCGAGGAACTCAACAGTTTGGCGAGGAACTCAACAGTTTTGTTACAAAACAGATTCTTCTTGGTAGGTACATATTCTTCGAATTTCACTGGAACAATACTATTTTCCCTGTACTGTCCGAGGTGAGGTGAAATGAGGTTTAACATCGCGTCCACGATTATTGCACTTGTATAGCGATGGGCATGTACGTATGTTTGTGTGGCTGCTTGTACTAGTCCGGACTGATGCCGATTTATAGTGCTAGCTCACTGAGATACCATGCCGCAGTTTAACATGAATACCCCACTCAGACACAGTATACTGACTCCGAGCCGACCAGCCCTTGTTTTAGCCCCTTAATGCGGAGCGCCAGACAGGGTAATAACAACTACCATCTTTTTACGTCTTTTGGTATGACGCGGTCGGGGATCGAACCACGGAGGCGGTCAGTACTGTCCGACATTACGTACGTACGTATATACAGGGCTGAGCCCAATCTAATTAAAATCATAATCTTAGTTTATAAACATTGTTTATAGCGGTAACGAGAACTAAGGTCTGATTTTAATGAGACTGGGCTGGGCCGACTGGATGAACTGTACACGTCATCATAGAGTTTTTAAAGCATTCGTCACCACTCGCCCCTTTCCGTAACCTGCAAGGAGACTCGTGATCCTGTCGATGAATGTTCTGTGGGAAAATGAGAAGTACTCAAAGTACTTCGTTCAAATATTGCCTCATGAATAACTTTTGATTTTACATATGACTTGCATGTTACATCTTCCCTAGGCAAGTCCAGTTTCCACCCTTGCCGAACTTCCAGGCTCGATCGTAGCGCCTCCAGTGGCTATTACGAGTTATGTCCCTTCTATTCACCTCCTACTGACCAATGAGATTCCATCTCTCATATCACTTGCATTTGCTTCAAACAAAATGGCGACGCCCAGTCGAAGGCGATCTTCTCGATAATCAAGATCTGTATTGTAATACAACGTGTCTTACCCCGCGAAGAGCATGAAACTTGAGCACCTTGATTAAAAACATGAAAGAATTTGCAAAATATCTGTAGACGCCCAGTTGGCGGTACTCCCATAATTGCAGCCTAGTTCGGCAAGGGTGGGAACTGGACTGTTATAGTCAGTTAACTCCCTTGCCCCGGGAAGATGTGCATCTTAAAAATATACCCCAAATACGGACGAATGTGTATGCAAAACCATTTAAATAGTATCTGGAATATATATGATTTATGAGGGCTATATGCATGAATAATTACGCAACGAGTTGACAAGTCTTTTAGCTATGCCTGTTTGCGCTTAGACAGAACTCAGTCGCAAAACTGCCTACGAGAGTGGCACGAGTCGCTATTTGGCTTGTCCCAGAATGACACGTGTTGGCCACGAACAGTTTTTAAGATGCGAGGTCGAGATAAGATGATTGAAGCGCCCGTAATATACTCATAAACTCGTTTGATCCTTCTGAATGAAAACAAACGATAACCGCATTGTATACAAAACTTTATTTTTTAGAAAAACAAAAAGGGTATAACAGAGTAAACTCTCCTACAACATGGGATGGTATGTGGTTTTCCCAGAACATCCATTTAGGTCCAAACCATGGAAAAGGAAGATGTTTGGGTGTTTTCGTGTATTCTTCTCTTTGCAAGAGGATTTGAGTGCATCTTGAAAATATTCCAGTAAGGGTTCGACTGGTGCATAGACTCGGACAGGACAGCAAGCGTGGGTGAAGCAACGAGACAGGATAATTGTCAATTCATATTATTAAGATACCACGTTTTGCATTCTGATTTCTCGTAAGACCATTGCTGCAATCTTGTCTGTGTGGTACATGCAAATGTAAGTATTCTTGTCTTACCTTCTTTGTCCTATATGTAAATGTAGGTATTCTTGTCTTACCTGCTCTGTCGTATATGTAAATGTAGGTATTCTTGTCTTACCTGCCTTGTCGTATATGAAATGGCAGGTTTTCGGGTAATTCAAAATTGGACCTTTTTTTTGAGAATTGACTTGGATCGATTTCACCAATAAGGATTCAGGAATTTGGGATGGTGTTGGTAGTTAGGAATGTGGTAACTTCTCAACTGGTGTAATCACTGTAACTGCTGAATTGCTTTATTCGCGGGTAAGAGTGGGTAATCTCCAATAGGGTTTTGTCATTGCTGGAAATATAGCATATTTTGAAAACATTTTGTTGTTTTGTTGTTGTTGTTGTTGTTTATGTTGTTCGGGGGGGGGGGGGGGGGGGGAGACATTGAGTGTTTCAAAACATCAAGATTTCGAGTTTTGCATCGGGGTTGCAGACTTGAAATGTATAGGTGTTGATCTAATTCATTTCCACTACTCATTCGACACAACCGAGTAAAAATATCGTTTTTTCAATACCTTTATAAAACTGGTGCAAATGTAGTTTTCATGGATATAAAACATATACAAATCTAGAGCCAATTGAATGGCAACAAGGCTTGGTGATGTCACACAAATTGACATATTTACATAACACTGTTTCTCATACATACACTCCATTCTTGTCAACTCACACGTGAAAAAAACAGATGTTAACTTTCAGTTAACAATGTTTCGAGACAAACAGTAACGATGAAACCTATTAACTCCAAGTCTCCGGAACAACGGAACATAAATAGCGGTATCCACAGTTGGATGTTTCGATAGCTGATGAGGATAGTGCCATGGTAATAAGACAACATCGCTCTTAATGGCACATTCAGGGGAGTTCGAGATATGAGGTTTCAAAATATTATAAACAGCTGCATTACAGGAAACCTATACATACTTACTGGTTATGCTAAACATCTTTCATGCATCGAAGATCGACTGCATTATTATGAAAAATAAATGATACAGTGATGCAACCATTTACAGCCGTTTTGTTTTTCTCTTGGAGTTGGACACGAGTTGTTATACAAATTTATAATAAAAAAGAAACTGAAGATTTTTACAATTCTATGCGAGGATAAGTGCACTTTGAACATATGTACATGTTTGTGTAAATGGAAATATACTACATTGAACACAGGTTATTTAACCACCAAATAAGTAACATGATCTGAATAAATGTCAACCCTGATATACCGAATCTAAGGGACATTCTCCGCTTGTTCGACACATCCGAACGTTCCCTATTCATATCAACAATGGCGTTAATAACTACTGCTAGGGACTACAGCCAATTTGACCTGGGTGAGTATTCGATATAAGTGAATTCGGCATATCCGAAGTGATTAAAGGCGTGGTCAAATAGAATGGCAATGTGACATGCATTCAGAAGATTATTCCAGATCTGAGTGTTGCATTCTATTCACTGATTTTCTCTGAATTGAACATAAAAATAAATTATAGAAATAAGAAACTGGCCAAACATTTATGTTATAATAAGTAAAAACTCAAAATCTCATAATTCATTATTATATTTATGATACTCAGTGATGGAAACGTAGTTCAGCTTAATCACTTCAGTAAACCTGTGTGTCATCTTATTTACTTCAGTGAACGTTACTGTTTCAAATCGCGAACGAGAAAAGTCCATTTTTAAAAAAAGACAACCAAACTCAAAGTCAAACAAAACATGTGTACACTTGTATGACACAGGATAGTTTGTCATACTCTTTGGGAAGAAGTCATTCATGTTTTATCACCATGCCGTTACCGGCTTCACGTGTAGTACATCGCAAGCGTCGCGTTTTTACGTCAGGAGCGTCACGTTTAGTACGTCGCAAGCGTCACGTTAAGTACGTCGCAAGCGTGATGTTTTTACGTCAATAGCGTCACGTGTATACGTCAGTAGCGTCACGTTTAGTACGTCGCAAGCTACATGTTTTTACGTCAGTAGCGTCACATTTAGCACGTCGCAAGCGTCACGTTTTTACGTCAGTAGCATCGCGTTTAGTATGCCGTAAGCGTCACGTTTAGTACGCCGCAAGCGTCACGTTAAGTACGCCGCAAGCGTCACATTTTTACGTCAGTAGCGTCACGTTTAGTACGTCGCAAGCTACATGTTTTTACGTCAGAAGCGTCACATTTAGCACGTCGCAAGCGTCACGTTTAACGTAAGTAGCGTCACGTTCAGTACGTCAGTAGCGTCACGTTTAGTACGCCTATAGCGTCACGTGTTTACGTCAGTAGCGTCAATCTCTAACATCCATCTGGTCTATTGCATTCATCTTAATACAATCAAATAGTGTGGTCTTAATATATACAGAAATTGTTTCAGCGAATCTTATGGGTGTTGATATATTATTATCAGGGTGAATGCGACAAGGAAGAATAAAGTATCCACGAATTATTCAAATCTATAGCAATAAATGATTAATATAAACCACCGCACAAAAGAAAGTATACATCCATGTTTGATGTTGGCAAGAATGAGACAAACAAGAAATGGTTTCTCGATGCTGATGTATTTGATACGGGCATCATAGTTGTGTTTTGGACCCTAGGTTTGCAGGGTTTGCCTCATTCGTCACCTCTCGCCCCTTTCCGTAACTGCTATTCGGCTTCATTCGTCACCACTCGCCCCTTTCCGTAACCTGCAAGAAGACTCGCCCCCTATCGATGAATGTTATGTGGGAAAATACGACAAACCAATCAGAATGATTTTAAGTTCTTCGTCAAAGAATCCCTCAGAAATAATGTTTGATTTTAGATATGTCTTGCATCTAAAAATATACCCAAGACACAGTTAAATGTGTTCAATCATTCTGTATAATTCCACACGTCCCAGTGTGCTTTAAATTGTATCTGAAATATATATAATACATGGGGAAATAATATGTGAACCATTACGCAACGAGTTGACAATTGTTTTGGGTATGCCCGTTTGCGCTAAGACGGAACCCGGCCGCAAAAATGGTCATGAGAGGGGCACGATTCGCTATTCGGTTTGTCCCGGAATAACACGAGTTGGTCACGAATGGGTTTGTCTTCTGCCTGGTAACGTTTTGATAACGTTTGTAATTTTTATGTCAAAACCAATTTTCAAGTGGATACCTTCTTTTGCTGGCAGTTTTCATGTATCATGTATTTGTCCAAATACGTGTTTCCAGGGTAATTATACAAACAGCCATCTAACGAAATATACGAGGATACTCATTCCTATTCTTAACAACACCGTTCATGAACTATATAAACATATCGTTAATATATATCAATATACTGTTACATATCTATGTATATACACTATCATGTACAAGCCATAACGACGCAACGATCAAAGAAAAACATTCGAAGAAATTAATGTATTAGCATATATGAACGACATACTGTACACAGGATATACATGTCTCAAATAAATACATGTTTCAAAAGCACCACTGTACAAACAGCCTTTGGGGATTCTCGCGATCGGGGAACATTCCAAACCAAAGTCAAAACCAACTTTTGAAAACGTACTGCAGATATGCCAATGTACACAATTTCAACTGAAGACGATAAGTACACATACGTACAGCCATGTTGTTACATGAAATCATCCATACTCCACCTTAAACTCCAGGTTCAAGGTATATATGTAACGGGAAACTAAACCTGAGGCTTCTAATTCTGGTTGTTAGTCTGTCTCCCATGTCCTAGAAAATATATTTTAAATGGAGTCCAACTCAAGTTTAGAATGACTAGCAAGTCTAGATTGTCTCAGCCTAAAATTCAGGATTGTTCTGGGTTCCATTTGAATTTTACGTTATATTGACATTATGACCAGGGAATTTTGGACTGCAGAAACCCGTTATGTGAAAAAAGCCACACGGCGTTATAACGAGGGAGGACGTCTGTGCTATTATTCTTATATTGTTCTTATTCTCGGGGCACGGGTGGCCCAGTCGTCCAAGGCGCCGCGATTCGCTGTGCAGAGTTACGACCCTTTGGGCACGCCAGAAACCTATGATTGTGGGTTCGAATCCCGGTTCGCCCCGATTATATTTGTAGGCTGTATAACTAATGTAATCTCTGCATGAGCTCGGTATCACCGCAGTGTTTGTACACAAAGTCACCCTCGTTAAGTTGGACAAAGGATGCTCGATATTGTATTTCATGTGGTCATTGGGAAGAGTGAGTGAGTTGGGTTTAACGCCGCTTTTAACAGTATTCCAGTTATATCGCGGCGTGTCAGCTTAATGTGGGAGGAAATCCCGAAGTGATGCAGGTGTATAAGTATTAAATATATATAAAAGAGTCCAGATATTCGTGCTTGTCAAAACTCCTTTTATCCACACAAGATCTTTCGCCGTTCAGCTGCTCTTTAGGTATATTTATATATTTTTAAAGGAGATTTTATTTCTTGGACTAAATTTTAGTCTAACTGGTGTGAGTTTACTCAAAGCAGATGGGAATATATTCATATTGAATTTTTGATAACTAAAATTATGATAATTATGATATTGAACATATGGACTGTTTACAGACTGATCATTCTTCACAGTGTACACAGCAAACCACGTGTGTTGGAAGGATCATTCCCTAAATGTCAACAAAGCCGCAGCTCATATTTTCTTTGCTCTCAAACTGTGGATACCTGATGCGGGATTAAAGTAACTACAAAAATCACCACATTTGTGTGAGAAAAACATTGACAGGTAGAAAGTTTAGAATTAGTAGAAAGACATTTTAAGTCAATGTAACACAAGCACTCATTATTCAAAGAAAGAGTGAGTGAGTATGGTTTTACGCCGCTTTTAGCAATATTCCAGCAGTATCACGGCGGGGGACACCAGAAATGGGCTTCACACATTGTACCCATGTCGGGAATCGAACCCGGGTCTTCGGCGTGACGAGCGAACGCTTTAATCACTAGGCTACCCGACCGCCCCATTCAAAGAAAGATATAAGTATATATTTATGGTTTTATTTACACCACATTATGATAAAAAATACCCACCCCTCCAAGTTAATATATGTTTCTTGTTGCTGAAACTCGATGAAGTACTGTTAGTAAGGTGAATGTAGGCATGGATCGCGAATGTCATCAATGGACGTCCATGGTCACTGAGTCAGCGAGAACAAACACATCTAAACAATACCATCTAAAAATAGTCATAATATCAATATAGTACACAACGTTTATATTAGTCTGTTTGTAATTGTGTTAATCAGATGCATCTTCGAAACCAAACACCACCTGGTTAATCCGGTTCGACCCTGTCCACATTATTAAGGTGAATATTTAAGTGACTGACGACCTTATCTTTGATAGTTGAAATTCAACTTTGAGTTCATGTCATAAAAATAGCTTTTGATGCTTCTAATTAACGCTTAGAATGAAAGATCATTGTCAAAGTCGACATGTTGCATACCAAGGTCAAAGGGCAATTACTGTACATCTCAAGGTATTTATCCTATTTAAAATGATACTGAATACTGCTCATTGTTTGGACATCGTAATAATACCAAGAATATGGAAATAGGTATGCTTGTTATGCATATACACTATGAAAAGACCCTGTTTTAAAATATGGAATTTCCACATTTTGTAAGAATGTGAGTTCGATTTAACACAGATTTCAACAATATCTTAATGATTATTTGGTTTTCCAGATTTATGAGTTAAACACCAAAGGTATACAGGTCTAAAACGTTTACCGTTTTGATGAAATAATTCTACTCAGGACAAATTTTGGATTTGAACCAACAATCATTGGAACCTGGCATGCCTAAGGGACGCAACTCTGCACAGCGAAATCTAGTGGTTCAGACGACCCGTGCTCCGTAATGTACATGTGTAAATATGTACATGATATACATTCATTTTTTAAATTATACATGTGAATCTGTAGCACATATCATCCAGTTCGTACCTCGTGCAGTTGATTACATTTTGGCATACTTCAAAGAACACAACGTTTACATAACCAACCAATGGTACAAGAGGCGTCTGACGTCATGAAACCATATAAGGCAGTATCATCTTTACAAAATGATGGATGATCTCCAGAAACCTCCGATTCCCGAACAAAGATGCTCACTGTCCGATCAACGTCGATTGCTATGAATGTAGATCTTGCTAAAATGCCACAGGTGATGGAGTGATGTCGATACAAGTTGCATAGAATTAGGAAATTGAAGTTGATTCCAGAGATACAGTTAAGCTTCGGCAGCAGGATTCAACATCATCCTCTCCTCGATGTCCTTCCACCTCATCACTTTCTTGTCGTGGCCGTAGTTGGACCCCACTGTGTGCGTACTGGACCCCCCTCCACCCAACTGGACCAACTTCCTCCTCCACAACAAGCATCCAACAACGGGCATGAGGATAAAGTAACCCAGGACAAGCAGAAGGACAACGATGCTGTCGACTCGCATGTTTGCAATGGTCCTGAGCTTGGAGCACTGGACGTGCGATATCACGTTCCCATTCAAGCGTTCCAGTATTTCCACGCACACCAGATACGCCGTGTCTGATTGTAGGTGGGTGAATTCGAACTCTTCCTCCAGCTGGAGTTTGTCGGAAATAAATCGCCCGTAGTTCAGATCCCAGCCAACAAAGATGGCTTCGATTGTGCCGTTTGGTTCGTAGCCCTGGAAGCTCCATTTGATTCCCATTGTTGATGTCGTGCTGTAGAGATGGGTGATGGCGACGTTGCCTGCCGTCACTGTAGTTGCTGCTCGTCCGGGGAAGTGAGCCAGAAGTGGTTGGGACTGGTTCATGAGGTCACGGGTGGGTTCTTCTGACGTCACTTCCGCCAGAAGGAGAAACAACGTGAGTGACGTCACGAAACGTTTATCCATGGTTCCAATGAGTGAATCTCTGAAAAATAACACCGATTTAAATAAATTAATAAAACTTACATACATATATATACAAACATGATGTCCGATGCAATTCCCTATTTTGACTTATACCATATGTTCCCATGTTTGTAAGTGAACAATTCACATGCCTTTGCATGTGTTTGTGACGGGTGCAACCAGGATGGCAGGACCTCTTTCGCAAACACCTTGTATTATATCTATTTGATGCTCATGATTTTGTCGGAATCGTACAATCGACTCTGCAAATATTGAAAGGGTTTTGTCGCTTCTATTATGATTGTTTGATAATTGGTCTCATATATTGTGGTGGGGTGTAGATCTGAAACGTATATATCCTAATATTTAAAAGCAACATTTGGGTAAAAACGAATATTCAAAATTAAAGTGACAGAGGTTTCCTTGCAACAAAACGATTGCGAGAAATTTCAAATCTGTTTATTTTTGTGTCTTTCAATGGCTTTAGAAATTATACACATAAAAGAGAGAATTTAGGGATGTCAGCGTCCATAAATTCTCTCTCATATGTTTATTTTCGAATTTCGATTGCTACTGAGTAGATATGGATTAGTATGAAATCAACACTCACACATTCGTTGTTAATTGAGTTCGATCCCCAGCCGCGTCATACCAAAAGACGTTAAAAGATGGCGCTCGGCATAATTAAGGGGCTAAAACAAGAACTGGTCGGCTCGGAGTCAGTATACTGTGTCTGAGTAGGGTATCCATGTTAAACTGCGGCATGGTATCTCAGTGAGCTAGCACTATAAATCGGCATCAGTCCGGACTAGTACAAGCAGCCACACACACACACACACGTACATGCACGTCGCTATTTAAGTGCAATAATCTTGGACGCGACGTTAAAACCAATTTCACCTCACCTTCCCATGGATTAGCGTTGAACAAATCCCTGGTCATGGGCTTAAGACTTTGACTTTGATAAAGTCAAGACATCCGGAACGAATAATCCATTTACCATTGTTCGTCTATCCATGTTGTGAAACGGGGTAACTCTATACCCCCACTGATTGACAGATATCGACAGGTCACCTGACAAGTAACATACACGCCCACCCATGGTGACTGATGTGTCTTGTGCCACACGGGAAGGCGTCCTCAGCCTCGTAATCAGCTGGCTGACTGTCGACTCGGGGTTAATTAATAATGATTTCGAGACGCACTGTCTGGTTTGATTTCTCCCTTGATGATTGCTATTTACAATAGGAATTCCCTTTGCTTACCGTGCTGTGCATGTCAGACACGATGTCATGGATCACGTAAGCCTATTTCATCACACGATCATGGAGTGAGTGAGTATGGTTTTACGCCGCTTTTATCAATATTCCAGCAATACCACGGTAGGGGACACCAGAAATGGGCTTCACACATAGTGCCAATGTCTGGAATCGAACCCGAATCCGGCGTGACGAGCGAACGCTTTAACCAGTAGGCTACCCTACCGCCCCTGTCATGACCCATCATGAGGTGGTGAGGTGAAATTGGGTTTAACGTCGCGTTCAAGATTATTGTACTCACATAGCGACGTGCATGTGTGTGTGTGTGCGTGCGTGCGTGCGCGTGCCTGTTTCTACTAGTCTGGACTTATACCGGTGCTAGCCCACTGACATACCATCCTAGATACCCAGACATAAGGCGACCAGTCCTTGTTATGCCGAGCGCCAAGTCGGGTGACAAGAAGTACCATCTTTTAACGACTTTTGGTATGACGCGGCCGGGGATAGCGCTCCAAGGGTAGACGCTACGTCCACTAGACAACGGAGCGGATGCGGACGTGGACACCCTATCAACTACACCCAGGAGGCGGTCTCCGGGCAGACGCTACGTCCACTAGACAACGGAGCGGATGCGGACGTGGACACCCTATCAACTACACCCAGGAGGCGGTCTCCGGGCAGGCGCTCCGTCCACTAGACCATAGAAGCGGTCTCCGGGCAGACGCTCCGTCCACTAGACCATAGAGGCGGTCTCCGGGCAGACGCTCCGTCCACTAGACCATAGAAGCGGTCCAAGGGTAGACGCTACGTCCACTAGACAACGGAGCGGATGCGGACGTGGACACCCTATCAACTACACCCAGGAGGCGGTCTCCGGGCAGGCGCTCCGTCCACTAGACCATAGAAGCGGTCTCCGGGCAGACGCTCCGTCCACTAGACCATAGAGGCGGTCTCCGGGCAGACGCTCCGTCCACTAGACCATAGAAGCGGTCTCCGGGTAGACGCTACGTCCACTAGACAACGGAGCGGATGCGGACGTGGACACCCTATCAACTACACCCAGGAGGCGGTCTCCGGGCAGACGCTCCGCCCACTAGACCATAGAGGCGGTCTCCGAGCAGACGCTACGTCCACTAGACCATAGAAGCGGTCTCCGGGCAGACGCTCCGTCCACTAGACCATAGAGGCGGTCTCCGGGCAGACGCTCCGTCCACTAGACCATAGAAGCGGTCTCCGGGTAGACGCTCCGTCCACTAGACCATAGAGGCGGTCTCCGGGCAGACGCTCCGTCCACTAGACCATAGAAGCGGTCTCCGGGTAGACGCTTCGTCCACTAGACAACGGAGCGGATGCGGACGTGGACACCCTATCAACTACACCCAGGAGGCGGTCTCCGGGCAGACGCTCCGTCCACTAGACCATAGAGGCGGTCTCCGAGCAGACGCTCCGTCCACTAGACCATAGAGGCTGTCTCCGAGCAGACGCTCCGTCCACTAGACCATAGAGGCGGTCTCCGGGCAGACGCTCCGTCCACTAGACCATAGAGGCGGTCTCCGGGCAGACGCTCCGCCCACTAGACCATAGAGGCGGTCTCCGGGCAGACGCTCCGTCCACTAGACCATAGAGGCGGTCTCCGAGCAGACGCTCCGTCCACTAGACCATAGAGGCGGTCTCCGAGCAGACGCTCCGTCCACTAGACCATAGAGGCGGTCTCCGGGCAGACGCTCCGTCCACTAGACCATAGAGGCGGTCTCCGAGCAGACGCTCCGTCCACTAGACCATAGAGGCGGTCTCCGGGCAGACGCTCCGTCCACTAGACCATAGAGGCGGTCTCCGGGCAGACGCTCCGCCCACTAGACCATACAGGCGGTCTCCGGGCAGACGCTCCGTCCACTAGACCATACAGGCGGTCTCCGGGCAGACGCCCCGTCCACTACACCCAGGAGGCGGTCTCCGGGCAGACGCTCCGTCCACTACACCCAGGAGGCGGTCTCCGGGCAGACGCTCCGTCCACTAGACCATAGAGGCGGTCTCCGGGCAGACGTCCCGTCCACTAGACCATAGAGGCGGTCTCCGGGCAAACGCTCTATCAAATACACCACGGAGGTGGTCTCCGGGCAGACGCCCCGTACTAGACTACGGAGGCGGTCTACAACACAAGGGAAGCAACACCAAAGATATCTTTCAAATACATTTTGAATTACGAGCATCTAATTGCTGTGTGGACAATACAATCTTTAATTGAAGGAATGATGATGATGATGATGATGATGATGATGATGATGATGATTATGATGATGATAGTACGATTATTGATTTATTCCTTCATTCGTTATGTTTGTTCTCGTTCGTTCGTTCATTCATGTATTTATTTATTTTTATATTTTTTAAAATTTTATGGTGGCACAATACAAAGGCACATGAGTGTAGAGCCAAATATTACATTAGGCTCCTAAGTAGAAAGCGCCCTGCTTCCCGTGGATCACTGATGAGCAATTCCATTGCGGCAAAGTGGTTGTTTGAGCGACATCCTTAGATCAAATAACTCCTCATCACTGAAAGCACCGCAAACAAACTCTGATCGTTTAATGTCACGGCAGGTCAAGGTCATTCCATGCAAATCTACCAGTGGTGAGGTGAAATTGGGTTTAACGTCCCGTCCAAGATTATTGTACTCACATAGCGACGTGCATGTGTGTGTGTGTGTGTGTGTGTGTGGCTGCTTGTACTAGACCGGACTGATGCCGATTTATAGTGCTAGCTCACTGAGATACCATGCCGAAGTTTAACATGAATTCCCCACTCTGACACAGCATACTGACTCGGAGCCGGAGGCGACCAGTCCCCTTATTGCCGAGCGCCAGACAGGGTAACAACAAGTACCATCTTTGAACGTCTTTTGGTATGACGCGGCCGGCGATCGCAAATCTACCAGTGTGTCATTATGAGGGAGCTAAGTGATTCGATCGGAGAAGAAGGGGTATTATGGAGTCATCCTCGATTACCCAGGGTACTATATCTCCATTCTAGATAACTACCTTGGGAGACAGCGAAGATCCGGGTTAGAATTGGTCATCAGCAACCCACGCGTATCTTAAGGGGCGCCTATCGGGATCGGGTGGTCAGGTTCGCTGACTTGGTTGATGCACTTTGTTTGTTTGTTTATTTTTTAACGCCTCACTCAGCAACATTCCAGCTGAATGATGGCGGTCTGTAAATAATAGAATCTTGGCCAGACAATCTGGTGATTGACATCATGAACATCGATCCACGCAATTGGGATCGATGACATGCATCAACCAAGTCAGCAAGCCTGACCAACGGATCCCGTTAGTCGCCTTTTACGACAAGCATAGTCACCTTTTACGGCAAGAATGGGTTGCTGAAGACCTATTCTACCCCGGCGTCTTCATGGCCCTTTTTGAATGAATTAATCTTTAACATGATTATTATTGATGAATTTCCAGCTAAATTTCTCAAATTAAACTGTACATATTCGACCGTGAAAGACGACACGACCACCCAGTCCATTCAGTCGTCTCTTTCAAGCATGGTTGCTGGGGCCAACAGTCTCACCCGGAATCCCCACTGGTCTACACTAACCTCCAGATTGTTCTGCGTCGTAAAATATGAGTTAGCAGCCATCAAAGCGGGTTTTGAATGAAAAGAATCAAATTTATTAGGATTGCCAATTAGCCGAGCCTGTCCCCTTTTAGCGACCGGAGAGGACCACCTACTCCCTTAATGAGTTTGA